TAAGCATGGCCCACCGTTCAAATTCCAACTGCACAGTGTGATGCCCGCTGAAACGCTTGCAGTGAGGGGCTTTTTTGCGCGCAACCAACCGCGACGGTCCAGCACTCTTAGTTTATGCAGGTCCGGGGCGAAGGATTGTCGTGCATAGGGTGTCCACCTCTGAGCCAAGGCCGGACTCTTAACACCACACCTTGAAAATTACTAGCAGCTCGGGCCAACGGTCACCTTGCGCGAGGTACCAACACTAACACTAACGCTGATTGATCAGAGGTGCAGAATTTTGAACCCGAGAACAAAAAGGGGTCCATGGATGATGCATCCAACCTGGAAACATATCCTCTCTCTGGCTATGAATGGCCCATGGAGTTCGACGGTGACGGAGCCATTTTGATTAAAATGCTTCTGGTCCAGCCGCTTGGACATCCTTGACCAGCCTCGCACGCTTAGATCTTTTGCTTTGAGACTTGATTTCTGTTTCATCCACTCCTTGACATCGCTGTCCGGACTTTTTTTTGTTTCTCAGTCAAAATCAGAGATATCACTCACACCCTCAAACTGCATCCCATCGTTCAACCTAATCGAGTGGTCACCTAATTCTTGCTGCTCTCGAAGCGACCGACTCCCAGCCAACGAACCACAATCTTCCATTATTCGATTATCTTGGCCTTGCGAAGCCATGCTGAATCGCGTAGAGAGAGATTCAAAGCACCTGACGGCTAGACAAGCTTACCGATTGGTCTTAGTGCGCTGGTTTTTGCCCTAACCGGATGGGTGGGCGCGAATCCCTTTATCAGGCAACCAGGCAACCAGATCTAAACCTCATCCATATGCCCCACAAATTTCCCATCCGGTATCTAATAGGAACACTCCAAGAAGGTTGGCCTGGGTTCTAGGTGTGGACGCTTCCACGCCCTGGTGTGGTGCAAAAGCCAGGGACTCCTTGCCAACATCACAACCCTTTGCTGATAAGTTGGTATGATCTGACAGTGAGTGAGTCTGTGGGAAGATCCTCGATGTCGCAATTTTCTCATTTACGCACGTTTATAAATTGGTGACTGCACTTTAGAAGGTGAACAATTTACTCGAAAATTCTGCAAAAAAGCACGCCTTACGTTCTATGCCGAGCAACGGTTATACCAGGTCGCCAGGACGTGTAACAACTAAGTGTCACCAATCCGGGTGATGGGTTCGATGGTGTTTTGCATCACGAAAGAGCCTCAAGCGACTAATGAAACATCTTGTTAGACGTCTGTGCGCTGACACGCATTTTAAGCTTACCGAACATGTGCAGGATCGCCGCATTGATTAGCAAATACATATTCTTTCGTACCAAATATATTCTGCTAATGTGTCCCGGATAGGGAATTTTGCTCCGTAATCTAGGACTAATAAACTCCCTTACGGGCTTTAGGTAACAATAGTCCTACAGTCATGCACGCCCAACACCAACGATGGATCCGAGACACATAAGCTAAATTCTCCCCAAAATTTCGAAACAGCTACCAGGCTCAGTACACCAACCTTTTACCGGATTGAGATCTTCCACCGCTATGTTTAACGGAGGTGTCTATATGCACTATCAGTCTCCCAAATTGGGGATGATGTCGTTGATGTTGTCGGCAATATCTGGCACAGTCCGTCAGACGGCTGAGCTTGTATCTATAAGTTGCTTTACATTCCCCTCCTTTGAGCATCAATCTCTCTCTTCATTGACTCTTCGCAAGCCTAGTGGGATCTCGATTGTTCATGAGTGGAGGAACCGCCGTTTCCGCTCAGATACCGCCGCCCCTTGTGCGCCGTTCCTTAGCGCCCTAAGTTCCTGCCAACCGCTCATGTGTGACCTCTAAATACAGTGGTAATACTGTCGGAGTTTCGCTGTCGGGCTCGAAGCGCTGCTTCAACGAGCCACCTGTGAGTCTGAATCCTGCATGAGGTGAGCAATCTGTTTCACATCTTGCCCTCAACTCTGGTGTCACGGTTCTAAACCTCCCACAACACTATGCGACCCAATTAGGCCTAGCGTGGCTTGACCCCCACGAGATGAACAGTTTCACCCCGTAAATAGATCTCTCCATAGCTGATGTTCTATTCTCCTTACGAGTACACTGTTTCAACAACTGTTTAGGCCGAATTCGTTCCAGTCTCTGACATCTGACAGTACAGAATTTGTAAGCAGACAACCCCTCGGCCACCACAGCTGCCAGTCAATGGATTTCAGTTATGCAGATGGGCCGCGAAGCTCCGAACCAGGCGAAAACAATTACGAATATACGATTGATACTCCTGATGACGAGTGGTGGGGCTCTATGCTTAGTATAGGTCACTCTGATGCTACCGGACACCAAGAGTTACCAGAGCCTACAATAGCGTCACTCGGTTCCACGTCTCAATCATCCCAGAGCAGAGGCTATTTATCCTCTTTGCAACCCTCAAGCAGTCTTTATTTCGCTGGAGCTCAGTCTAGCTATCCAGCCATCCAGCTCCCAGCTAATTCTCTGGCCACGTTCGACGCTCCATTCACACTTCACGCAGGTGGGACGAGCGAGATGTTTGTAACCTCTACACTCGGTGACGCATCTTCTTCAAATTCATTTGAAGCGGTTGGTACGGCATCAGCTGGCCACGAGTCAGGGTTGGACAATACCACGCCATCAGACGAATCCTGCGATGTCAGCCGTGGCCTAGACCAACAGTCATTGGCTCTATCAGGGGCAGTCAACACCACCAGATACGAAGCGCATCATAAAGACCTCCGGTCCAATTTTGACAGCACCTTACAAAGTCACAAAAATCAAGAGACAAGTGACGCGCTTGCTGACAGCCACGCCGGATACGTAACTAAAGATAATCCGGCCACACCTTACTCTTACTTCTTTGAGGATGATCGGCGTGAACAAAGACAGAACGGCATTCAAATGGATGAGTATGAGGCGGTAGAGCAACCGTCAGGCATATATCCAGTTCCGCGGCACGGTAATGAACCCGGGGCTCGTCTAGCCAGCGACCGAACCTCTCCCAGCAGTTTGTCGCCAGGGGACTCATCGCAAGCCTTCCTGCTTACCACATCTTTGACCTCAGCCACTCAAACCCATTCCACCAACGACAGCTGGAAGTGTGATGATTGTGGTAGGGTGCTCGCAACGAAAGGCACCAAGAACCGCAACAGGAATAAGAGGCGTCACCATTGCCCTGGTACTGGCCCGAAAAATCCCTGCCCAATATGCCCTAAGTCGTTCAATCGCAGTGATACTCGACTGCTACATCTGAGGAAATGGCACCCGGAAATCCATATGGAACCGCCACGGCCACGGAAAAGAAAGGACCTATGACAGGAGAAGGAGGAATTCATACTGGACGCTGCCTCTGTCTGTCACGGAATCCATTATGAAGCATTTGGGAGGCATCACTGTCTTTTTCTGTTCATGGAAAAGAGGAGATCAGGCGCATGACCAATGAATGTGCTTGACGGTACCTGAAGAACCGTCTTACATGCTCACGCCTGCATTTCATCAATCTTTACAACCGCATCCGAGAGTAGTCTTCTTCAGCGATTGCGATAGAATGACCTCCAACCATCTGTACCTTATGTTAATGCACCTTTTCCTTGTGTATGGGAACCATTAGACGATAAGGAAACGTGGATAGAACGCAGAACATGTGAATTGTGGGAATAAAGTTACGTTTAGAATTGGCTGTGCGAAAATCCTCGTTGAGCTTCCAAATGAAGAAACCCTTGAAAGCCGGACACAGTGTGTTTTGAGTCTGCGAGCCGATGGGACTAAGGGAAATCGCGTCCACGAAATAGCGTCATCTGGTGGAGTGTTAAAGCGACTCGATTTATTTAATATATACAACAAGATCAGCGTCGCTCGTCTCTGATCGTACGGCTATCAGACACCTCGTGATAAGTGCTCACGACCAAGGGGAAAAGGAGACATCGCCACTATCACGCTCATCCAAAGCTTTTATGTAGAACTCATGGATCGTGCCGCCTCGTTTTTGAAAGTCCCCTGAGGAGAGCTGTGTTTGCGGTTTTCGCTCCAATCTTCGCCCCCCGCTTCGTCTGTTGCGGTCTCGCCTGCACGTTCTCAATGCCTTTCTCATCATGAAAAAGAGTCTTGCACATCGGCTAACAGATAAGTCCTGGTTGCCAGCGACTGGGGCATCTCATTCGACTCGGTCAGAGAATGTGCCGAGAATACATGCTCAGTATAGGAACGAAACGCCCACAACCCTCTCACAGTGCCGAACTGGTCCTGTGACACAAAGGGCTGTAATCGGCGGACTTGCCTCTTGATTCTAGGCTTTGATAGAGGAAGGAGTAATACTTCAGTCAGACAGCCAGCCGTGTTCTTCTGAAGAAAATTCGAAAACAGAATCAGGCTTGTGCACCGTGGATGCTACGAGGACGCGCATCTTGATTGCAATTCGTAAAAGCGGGCTGACAGCCAAATCTTGGCTGTAGGAATAGAGTCGGAGAGGATCTAAAGGGCGATGGGGGAGCGAATATGAACTGAGAAGAAGCAGTGGAAACATGGAGTTGTCCAACTACTCCGTCGCATATCGTGGCGAGGCATGAGGATGTTGGTGATGACTAAGCGGCTCAGTGCCAAAATCGCTAGGGGATGGGATACCCCAGAGCACGGAGACAGCGGAGTGGCACACAATTTCACATTCTCAATTTATCTGGAAACATAATTCTCTCACAGACCAGGCGAGGACTGAAGAGGATTGAACGCGCACTGAATGCGAGTCTCAAGTCACAAGCGGCCACAAGATGCTACGTTAATACAGCTGGGATGGAAAAGGGAGGAGCGAGCGGAAAAAGCATGAACGGATAGGGATCGGATTGGGGTTTTCAAGAGCAAAACCACGTATCGGTCTATGAAATTGCCTCTACCATCCCTCTGCTTCGAACCCTGCTCCATCCCTTCTCCCCCAATGCTCCCCTCTGCCCACTTCCACCATGCCGCCATCTTCCACACCCCTCCCCCATTCATTCATTCCTTCCCACCCTCAACAACCTCCCCATGAAACCCCACGAAGCTCCCCAGCCCCCCCAGCGAGCGACCGAACCTCTCCCCGGTCGGCGTCCACGGCTCCTCCCCTTTCGACTGGCCTTTCCACGCCTCGATCCTTCCCAGTTCCGTCGCGGCTCGGCTTTGCATCTGCGCTGGTTTCGAGCCGGGACCGGGACCACGGCCGGCGTTGGGATCGGGACCGAGGTCGGAAGCGCCCGTTCGGGCTTTCGGGTGCGGGGTGGAATCGTGGGGGCTGTGAGATGGGGGGTTGGTCAGGTGAGGTGGACGGGATGGGGGAGTGGAGGGGACGGACGACATGGTTGGGTTTTGATTGAAGGAGGGTTGTGCGGTGGTTGGTTGAAGTATCGATACTATGGTAAAGCTTCCTCGATAGCTGTCTCTCTGTCTTGCTTTGGAAAGATAGAAAGAAATCTTTTGAGAGGGGTTGTGGCTCTTCTTAAAGACGGTGGAGTCCGTCACACTGGAGTCCGCAGCCCTGAGGGTCCATTGTTTGCGAGGTCCGGTGCTTCGGGGTCCATTATTTGGGGGGATGGTCATCTAAGGGGTCCTTTGCTTGGGGGTCCTTTTTTTTCCAGAGTCCCTCACTCGCAAGATCTTCACTGGCTGATCGTCAGGTTGCGCAAGACTTCTACATTGTTGAGTACAGATAGGCCGTTTCTCATGACAATTTTTTTCCCTTTGCCAAGCAGCTCTTCTAGGAAATCGAAATTGTAGTTTCTTCGTAAAGGCCTAAAAGACACGCAGAAGGTTTCATACTCGTGTTCGAGGATGCACATTCCAGAGCCTAACAAAGCCCACCCGAGCACTTACGCACGAAGGCCGTTTAACGTAACTTGATGGGATGAAGCAGTATCAATCCGTGAGACGTGATGCTCTAGATGGCCAGACTGCTGAATGATTTTATGGAGTCTCACGGTTCAAGGTTGCTAGCCCATTCCTTGGTCGAATGGCTAGACTAACATGGTTGGATCCTCGACATGATGTCGAACAGCTTACTGTAAATGGAATAATCAAACCTAATGTAAGAGGTCGAACTCCGACATGACAGGGAAGCACAACTCGGGGCTGATGAAAGGACACACCTACCAGTAGATCGGAATCCTTTTCCTTTCCCCTTCATACCTGCAGATGTTCACTTCTAAGGTTTTCAAAGATCTGATGGATCTGAACCACATTGTTGTTGAAAGCTTCGGCCAAAAAGACGCAGCGCAAGCCGGCAAGGCAGAGTCCCTGATCTGGGGGGCTAGCTCAGGCCGAAGGGAAGTGGGTTGTGAGACCTTGGACACTGATGAGGGGGCGAGAACAACCTTATCTAGGAGGTTTCACGGCTAGCGATTCAATCTGTTCCAGCTCCTTGGTTTCAAAGCGCGTTCTTTGACAAGAGTATGTGCTGCATAGTGCAAAGACTCGCACCATTAGGATATGTCCATAACGGACTTGTTCATAAAAACTGTTTAGCCGGCTTTAAGGATCATCCACTTTCCATGCCACTGGCCCAATGAAAGCGCTCGGAAAGTAGCGTTTTTAACTGAGCGATGTTCCCGCGTTTGATATGTTCCTGTATCTGATTTCAAGCGGTGATTGGAATTAGACTTTGCCCATCCAACGGACATCGCTTGACAGTTAAAACAACATGTAGGCAAAGTGGGATGGAAACTCAAACGGCTAAGGTAAGACATTGAACAAATGTTGACTGACTAAACGTTGTCGGCTAGTATTCTTAGTGAACTGCCGGTACAAGGTAGGTGACGCTGGTCGTCGCTCTTGCCGCCCAATCAGAAAGATCGATCCTCTGCGAAAGCCACCAGATGATGAGTGCGTATTTCTAGATTAACCTTTACCGGTTTTCTCTCGCAGACTGTAGACGCCAAAAACGTGATCGATCGGCTGTAAATGGCCCGTGCTCTCGCACGTGTCATTATGCGTTCCCCAGAGTGCCAATGCGCAAGCGGCTATCGATTAGTGCATTCTGCACGCTTAGATAGGAGCTTAACTTTAGAAAAGTGGTCCAAGCTTTCTCATTGCTCCCTGAATTGCTCAAAACATTACGGGGTGCCTTAGTTTGTTGACCCTCAGTCAAGCCGGTGCTGCATACTGACGTGACCCCCAATATCTCTGCCTGGAAGCTAGATCTGCCATCGCCCATGTTCTACAGGGATCGCAAATATCTCCATGAATCCTAGGTGGGGGTTGGCTCTTGTCAAGCCCAGGAAGCTATCGGGGAACAACATTCCGGCGGCAGTCCCTCAGTGGATGAGGGTGGTTTGGTATCCGAGATCTTCTCGTGTCTCATGATCCGCACAGGATTAAAGGGTGCCATCCTTGAATTCGACATGTACCTGGTAAGCTTGCATTGTAAATGTACTACCGCTGGACATTCACTGGGTAAGATCTTCGTCGTTGACATTTGCCGGATGTCATCCCGCTGTATCTGCAATGTCCAGATCCTGGCCAGTCGGAATAACTGATGCATGGGCTGGAGAGAGTGTGGGCACTTACCAGGAAGGACGTCATGCGATTTGGTTAAGGTTTGGGAGAAAGTCAGATTGACAATGCTAGCACGAGCTGAAACGCTAGATCGTAGCAGGTCGAAGAAGGCGTCGATGCAACTGCTGCCTTCCTATAAAAGCCATGTAGTCCAAGCACTCAGACATCAAGGCTGACGAACCCTTGCAAGTCCTCGATGATCCAACGACCTTGAACTTTCAAACAACGCCGTAGCAAAGACCCGGCAGCCTCAGCCCGTACTCAGTCAGCAAACATCGTCGTTTCGTCTCAGCCGCTGGCTATTGTTGTTGGCTAACCGGAAGACCATGACGTGCGAGTCCTGTATAGTTATGTAAGGATTACGCTCACTGACCGATACTCTTTTTCGTCCAGGACTCCTCCTAAATCCGAAGAGAAATCCAACCGCCCAAATTCACCGAGACCGCAACTCGAAGGTTGGAGGGAGGATCTGCAGAGCCATGAACAGGTCGCCATCGGACAAGAGAGGGAAAGATCGGAGGCGGAGATGAAGGCATTTCTCGATGACATTGAAGAGAAGATAGACGGACCAAAGGATATAAGAGGGCAGGAGACGTGAGCAGTAACAATAGAAGGATAAACGGCGTTGAGAAACGTGGTCCTCTCAGATGGATAACAAAGGAATTGCTACGACAATGGGTTGCACGGATGCAGGAAAGATTCATGCGTAGGACATGAGCAATGATTTGTGTTTGATGACTGTGTATGCTGGACGAATCTACAGACAACATCGCACGTGTTGTAATGGGACACCTCTGGCTTATCTAGTGCTTCTGGGCAGCAGGTAACGGCAGTGTCAGCGCAACCATAGTTGTAATATGGTAACAGAACATAAATAACAAGGCTGGAAAGTTATCACATCAGACTGAACCCTGCGTCCAATGCCTTATCTGTGCTTACGGGAAAAATCAATCATCCGTTGGCCGGTCAGGATGATAGTCCGTAAAGTTGACTGCGCGATTGGAGAAAGCTAGGTCGGGCCTGCTGCACGAACGGACGGTCTTTGTGCGGCTGAGTATGAGAAAGAGGGTAGTGAAGTTCTTTACATGGTACCAAGAGATCTCGTGATGGAATGTCGTTGGTGAAGATCGCCCGGCAACGCCACCCAGTTCCGGCCCCCATACTTCTAGCGCGCCGCGGCGGCGGCATCAACCTTCATACAACGTTGTCATCTTGCACCGCAGTCTGCCCATCATATCTTGTAGCTCAAGTCTCCTACTCCTCTGTACCAATATGACCCAGCTCTTGATCTTTGAGAGCTACGTGTCTAGAGGCTCTTTGTGTCTCTCGATGCATTGTGGGATGTTATTGAGCTACGATCGCTCGGTATCGGCGTCGGGGAACCTCTTCCATGCTTCCAACCATCTAGGCCACTGCTTCTAACCTCAAATCGGCTTCGAGTCTCTCCATCAAAAGAAGGTGTTGCTCATCCAGTCCAAGCCGGTGATGGATGCAGATGACTTGCGGTTGTATCCACATGGCTGTGTCCCGAATGTCTTAGGCATGCAGACGCGGTCTTTCGACGTTTGAATAGCTGTTGAGCATTGTGTATAACGTGTGTGCTCGTCCCGAACAGCAGTGTCGCTCTATACTCTCGGAAAAATCAGCATAGACCGCAGATGAACATGTGCAGGGGTTTGAGCATTGTTAACAGTATCATTCTGACAAGAACCAGGACTTCATGTATCCCTTCAGCGCTTCAATTTTCAATTGGGGTAGTAGTTCCCGCATTTCTTTTGAAGCACAGCTTTGCCGTACATTTCGATCGGGCTGGTAATCAAGACCGTACATGCCTCCTGTAAGACGGTGTCAGCATGTCTGGTGAAGATGAGAAGAAAGGCATTATGATCTACACGACAATGTCTTGCGCCTAATCCGCATAGAATTCTGCAGAGTCGGGCGGAATGGCGCATACGCGCGCGTTCTATCACTCCTCAATAGTGGATTCATCTGACAGCATGATGTTACTGAAACGAAATGGCTACCAATCTGATTACATTCAACAGAGCATAGCCCTTTGAAGCTGATCTATTGCCAGACACAAACCATGGAAACCGAGATTTAGGTAAATTTCTAACCTGCCTATGATCCGAGTTGCTGCAGCTAGCCTTGTCCAACCCAATGAATTTCGAAGGAAGGTTGATGTACCAACCCGAATACCAAAAAGTATAGAAGGTAAATGTCCTCCGGTTGTCACGAACAATTCGAAATTACGTCCTGATCACTACAATGGAAAAGACCTAGATAGCAGGGCAAAGAGTCGTTGCTCACAGCTGAACCCGTAATCATTTCTCCTTCCCGTGCAGTCGCAAACTTGCGTTACTGTCTTACTGCAGGATGCCCGCAGATTCTTGCCTCTCTTGCCAAACGAAAGCTTACTTGGTTTTGTGCTTTGCTGACGATATCGCAATCTTTTGCCTATATGTTAGAAGGCAAACTTAATTCGTTCTACTGCCAAGTGAGAGGAGGACACCAAAGCTGCTCTTCTGGCTGCGGTCGCACCACGTGCCGACAAATGAAGGAGGCTGTGAATGCTACGCTTGGCATCGGAGTCAAAAGTGTTGACTCACACTGTTTTCAATCTCTTCGGAGCTAGTGTGCCCTTTGTATGCGAATCTGCATCCGCACATGCATGGGTGAGAACTATGCTTCTTTGTGACATTTTGACACCACCTATGTCTGCCTGACTCGTATCCCAGCGTACCGGATGCCAGCATCATGTCAAGCCTTGGAAATAGGCCAGTCCTTGTCGCTGTATGGCTACCACACTTCACGCTTCACTGTTGCTGAGCCAGAAGCTAATGACAAAAATAGAATAATCAGATTATTTACTTCTTGAACCAGGCACCTGCTCTTGCTGCGGAGCCACTCGACCAATCAAACCCCTCCCATACCCACTTTACCCATCTGAAGGTCATGTTAATTCACCATTGTGCATCTGCGGTGGCCAGCATCCAATTTGTTTCTGTTTGGTGCTACAAAGCTTGGAGCCAACTGCAAATGCTCTAAGCTGAATATTCTACGCCTTTTGAAAAACAAATGGGCTGCGTTATCGGCTCAAAGGGGTTATGCGCCTATTGCACTGCCGGTCTCTGGGCATTCTCTGCACGGTGTATGCCAGCTGACCTCAAGTCTTCCAGTACCTGGCTCCAAGGTCCTTATCTCTCAAAACACTTCGAGCAGACTAATGACTAATGCTCATCAGCCTTTAGTTCGGCGTCCAGTACTTGTCACTTCGACTACGACTTAGAACAAGATTCCACCTAGGTCTCACAAGCAACCATAACGACATTGTCCAGCACCTCGACCTCGATCATGACGTCCTCGTCCGCGATGCGTGGAAGTTACTACCACGCATCAGCGTATACAACGACCTACACGTAGGCTCTTGAAAGGTTCTTGTGTGACGGCCACTGCTAATATTGTAACAGCGAACTGCCTCAGTACTACTCAGGCAACCATCTATCTATTCACCATCCTAACTCATCGCATCGAGACTCATCATACCCTCTATCGGCTGCGGTTTTTTCACCTTCGCTCTCTGAGAGCAGCTACACTGGTCATCCGGTCACGAAGGGATATGAGATCGAATACAATACCGATGTACAAAGCAAGTCATGTTGTGCCTCGGAGGCTCAGAGTCGTCGAGGTGGGGATGGTATGCCATACAATAACTCCACTATCAAGGGCGGGACACAGAATAACTACACCGCTGAGATTAGGCAGAACCTCGCTATGCCAGGGTACAACAGTCCCGCAAATGTGCCCGGCCATTTCCGTACTCTCTCTGCGAAATTTGCTACCCCATGGTACACTCCGTATCTTGACGCGTCTTTCGAAGAGTGCCAACCGACGGACTTTTCCTCGAACGGTTACTCAAGTATTGGAAGTCAGTTTGAGCTTGATGACAGCCAAATTCTTGAGGGGAATTTTTTCATGGACCCCATGTTCTCTCAGAATCTATCAAGCGAGGACCACTACTGCCCAAATAGCATCGCAGCTAGCCAGACAGTTTTCGAAAACCACCTTCTACCTCTCATCCCGAGCCTGCCTACCAACAGACCTGTGCCTCCTGTAGACTTGATTGCAAGAACTCAAATGAGCGGTCCATGCCGCGATGTCTCCATACCTATCATACACCCGGGTCGGGCCGTCCTGCCGTTTGAATCAACCACACAGCTAGACCCTGCGACGAAATACTCTTCGGCAGGCCTTAGTACCCCTTGGACCATCTCACCAAGTGTCGCATTCGCGGAGACAACTCACCTCCATCAGCCATCGGCTTTCAATAATCCATGCTACAACGCCTCACTAAGAGCCGCGGGCTCTCACACGCCGCCTCATAATCCCGCCGCATCAATAGGCTATCCTTGGGATGTTACATCTACAGATTCATCGCCATGACAGAAGCGTCCGCTGATCCTGACTTCGAATTACGTTGTCTTGGCCAAGTGTTCTCTCCCAGCCTCGCGTTCAGGGAAGTTCTCAAGACCAATCGGCCACAAGTAATCACCTACCAGGCGCGCGGCAAATCTCTGGACGCCACGCCCTCCAAGAAACGCTGTGCAAACCGTTCGGTGTCAGTCACCAGGCCCGAGTTGGAACACGGCCTTTCGAAGTGTTCATATGAGGGATGTTCCACAATCAGAAAAGGAAAGTACCACGCATCGAACATGCGAAACCATGTGCGTGATACGCATGAGCGGCCCGCACGGCCCGTGTGTGAAATCTGCGGAAAAAAAGATTTGAAAAAAACTGAATCCCTGAGGAGACACGTAAAAAAATTGCACCCGGAATTTTATTTCCCAGTAGGCGTAAAGAAAGTGTGGAGGACGGGGTTGGACGGAACGCCGTATTCTACGTATCAACAGGTCCACGACTATATCAAAATGAGGAACATAGAGAAATCTTGAATTGTGTATGCTCTACGCAAGGAGGACGATGATTGACGAGAGTTTGGGATTATGATTTACGTTTCAACGACAGCGAGGAGTTGGCGGTGAATTTCATGATAGTGACACCCCCTTTGCATAGATTTAGAAGACGAATGTCCGAGAAATAAACATTTCCGTTTTCTCGGCCTAAATGCAGAGAGGTGTGCACATTCGACCCCAGCAACGGCTTCCCTCCCCCCTTCCCCCCAGCGGTGGCGAATCTGTAATCAGAAACCTTCCCCGTCCGGCACATTCTCTTCCGGAGAACCCAAATTTCGCCCAACATGAGGCGAAGAGTGGTCCAAAAACCTAGCACCGTTGCAAAAGTCGGGTGACGTAGCATGATGACCGCGAATCTGAAGAAGCAGAGGCTGTGCATGAATACGACATGCAGGGTGGATGGTAGCCAAGGTGCCATTGTCCTGACGCAATGCAACGCTTCCAAGGATCAGTTGAGCCAAACTAATGGGAATTGAAGCCGAATGGGTTTGAAGTGAAATGATTCGCGGATGATTTGGGTCCGTGTTGGCGTCCTGCTACGATGGCTGAAGGGGAGTCGGATGACATGAGGATACTTTCGCTGATTGGGCCAGGCAGCTGGATGAGCTTGTCGTGGGGAAGACTTTTGTTAATGATCAAGCTCCACTCGTGGGAAGGAGCCAGCAAAGGGGGGCCCGCATGGCCGAAGGATTCTCGCTGGTGTTGGGCTCGGAGGGTTTATGCATCTGTGGGATTTGGGAACCCATACGCCAGGATCTGTGGGAATGCTCGTGACTCGGAAGGTGGGCTGGTCGCAAGGAGGAGGACTGCTCGGGTTTTCCATATAAGTTCTTGTTTCTCTGTCACTTTCACATTGTCTCAGTCTCTCATCAAAGACCATTTGGAGTTCGAGGAGTCACTTCATCAGTGCCTTTGATCATTGCAATTTGTCGTTACACAAACACAAGTCACACCAACACAAGACACACCACCTACCTTGAAGCACCCAGGTCTTTACTCGCCTCTCGTAACTAGCTGCCGCTTCACATCACACGTGCAACCACAACGTAACCAACATGTCGTCGAGCCACCAATCCTATCGCGTCTCCAAGCAGCCTTTGGCGACCAATGTCCGGGAAAATCCGAAACGTCATCTCAAGTTGGATCTAAACACGCTCCAAACCCTTGAGAGAAGTCAGAAACCGAGGTCGTCCACTGATTACTATGTCTCGAATCCAGAGAGCTACGAAAGGCTCGCTGCGACAGGAAGCTCTGGACGTACGCCGCAACAGGTGGAGGCGGATGCAAAGCGATACCAGCGTGAAGTGGAGCCGCATGCGAAGCGATACCAGCGTAGTTCGTATGAAGATGACACGGAGCTCAGACCAAAGAAGGAGGGAGGGGGAGAGGGGTCCAACTGGAGGGCTTGAGGATGAATTGCGGATGAGATGATAGTAGCGACGTTATGGGCGCAACGACGTTCTTTTACTTGTTTTTTCTTTGAATGCGAAAGGAAAAATGTCGAAGTGAGGATCAGTTTGAAAGCATGACATGATGACTGGGACGGACCTATGGATGCACTGCTTATTGTTTGCGAGGGTGGAGATCAGGCGCGTTTATCTTTGCAAAAATCCGATCGTTTTCAATACAGACAATCCTCTTGAGAATCAAAAGCTCGTATAGCTACAAAATCAAGAATGCATCACGCCCGGTACCCACAGCAATGATCAAGTTTTAGAACAGCGTGAAACGAAACGCTCCGTGCACGTAATCAAATCGTCGCTTCGCAAGCAACGACCACCCACTTATCATTATGAGGTCTCCCGCCTAATTGGCACGAGTATCAAAAAGACCCGACGTTACCAGGAACGGCCTCGCTCCCGTGAGCGTTAGCGATTTCCCAGCAGCGATACTTAGGGCGTCGGGGCAAGGCAGCTCCCGCCGTTGGCACCAGGATTTATCCCTGGTAATTGACAATTTTCGACCCGGGAGCTCCCGTGGTGGAGTGGCATTTAGCACCGCCCTGGTCATGGCCCAACACCCGCACCAGTAGCGGCGACATCCTCAACATTCCCCGCATAACTTCCCAGGTAGATGATCCACAGAACGAACATCGTGCAGCAAACTCAAGTCAACGGCGATTCGCTACGACCGCGATGCACGCTTCAAGAGGCCAGGACTGTTGATTAACCGGCGTCGTCGTCCGCCTTTTCGGGTTCGCGAAAACCTTCATCCATGGACTTGCATCACCTGGTGATCAGTGTTATCGTCCGCAAAGGAACCGTAGCAGATACGAGCAAAGCAGAGACGCCAGCGCAATCCGGCCGAATTCTTAAAATAGACGCACATGCATGGAAAGACACGAGGAGTCGCATGAGCGAATCGCTTGCCTGCGCAAATCTCGCTGCCGGGAGTCTTACCGAGGCTGATCGGATTTTACGCCGCGGCAGGGCAGAAGAAAATTGGCTTTCAACCTTTTTGCGAAAGCACCGTGACGTTGGAAACTCGTTAGCAGAAGGAATGATATCGCAATCCGTATACGCTTACCCAAGTCCAAAACTAGCGTCCTTCAGCTTTCAAACAAACATCGTCCTTTTCCCCGCGTCGTGCTACGGCTACTGCTTCTGCCCATTACTCCGAGGTACGAGACATTAGCGTCTGTACCACGAACCATAAACGCAGTAAGGTCCTGCGCCGCCGCACCCTTTTGCCATTTTCGGGACTGGCATCTAAGCGAAACGAGAAGGAATGGTCAACAGATTCGCGATTCACAGCAACGGTTTTCGCCAAGGATGACCGAACCGAGCAGCTGCTCCGGCATCGTGGGACTTTACTTTTTGGAGTACCGGTAGAGTCATCGCTCGCTGCCAGGCGCCAATCAAACGCCGCTGATATCGAAGCATCTAACACTCTCCATGCACGAACTTTGCTGCACGACATACCATGCACGAACAAGGCTGCTACCGTGCAACGCTATCTCTTGATCTAATCAAAAGTCTAACCCACTTCCAACACGACTGCAACTGGCACGGCTATCGTTCCATCCTCTATTCCTATGTCGATGCCCGTCCGCCCCCCGTACACCCCCATGGACGCACCACATCCATCATGCACTCATCATGCACCCAGTCGTGACGCTAAAGCCGAAGCGAGCATCAATGGCGGCCCCTGAGATCCCACATCATCTGCCGCAGATTGCGGCCGGCACGGGATGGCAGAAAGGGTAAGCTTGCAGGACAGATTAGCTTTTAAGGCAAAGACCTGCACGGAAACTGTCTGATGATTGGTGGAGGTTACCTCGTTTTGCTAGTGAGGGCAGGATTCTGGGTTCTGCGCCAACGGTCATGCATCGGGCAACACGGCTCAGGATTGAAGGACACGGGTTCCTCAGAAATGAGAGACACGGATCTCTCAGGATCGAAGGAATACGGATTCCCCAAAGCTGAGGAACACGGATTCAACATGGTTTCTGTGACACCCCCATGGAAACTGCGAGGTGGGCCAAGACGTGATTGGAGCTGTAGGATTTTAGAGGGGAGACGTCATGGAGCATGTACCAACATTGTTTATTTGTGTCAGCCTTTGTGGTATATCTCAAACCCGCCCCAACTGATTCGACCTCTAAAGATGACTCCAGTGTTCTCATTGCCTTCAACGAAGCGATCAACGTTGGCCTGAGTCGAATCCGAGTAAAACTACTGACTCTCAGTACCTCGTCGCTGCCATCTGTTGCATCAGTGTCAACAGTCCACCACAGGACTATCACTAGGCCGTTAGCCTCGTACAGCTCAACACAGTCACTTTAAACAAAAACTCGCAATGCCGTTCGTCATCGCAACATTCCTTCTACCGAAATAGACTGACGAATGATATTTGCGCAGGAATAGCACAGCGCATCCTCAACAACCCTCCTATACCGCTGCACGCTCCGCAAAGCCCGAGAGACCCCAGCTGCAGTCCTGGCTCAATAAGGCAGAGACACATGAGCAAATGATGGTTGGACAAAAGACATCTCGATCCTTCGTGACGACGATGCGATTCCTCGAGGAGATGGAGACGAAGATCGAGAGGGAGTTCAGATGAGAGAACATTCAGGAAACCGCGGCAATGAGAAAGAGGAAATACGGCGCTGGATGCGGGAACGGAGATGGCCGGATAGAAAAGGAGAAGGGAACGCGGAGGGTGGTGCAACTGTGGTTTAGATAATGAAACGGAGTCAAGGAACGCTTTTGGGAAAGGTTCTTACCCAGCTGTGGTAAATAATGGATAGCGCATGGCCCATGGATGGCTTAATATTGATATGACGCCAGCGGTGACAACAACTTTAGACACACAGTTCCAAATTGATGTCAGACAATGTGTGTAGATCACCTCATACACAGCATCTGATGGACTCGGCCACAGCAAAGCAAGCTTTGGCCTGACTCCAGCTGAGGAGGTACTTGAAAGCTGATGCTGCGAGAAGACCGAAACGGCCGCGCGTGGCAAGGAGTCCATATCAGAGGGTGTTAATCCAGCCCGAAGTAAATCACACCCATCCCCGGGACCATCCGGATAGCGCACCCCGAGGGCGCGGCAGACGCGTCGTCGGTAAAAAAATCCAATAATCCAGCCCTACAGCGCCAGCCAGCGGAAAAGCTTGGCGGGAGTCGGCGTCTAGATTTCCCGTTCCCGGTGACGGAGAATTCGGGCTACTGATTGCGCACGATGATGACAGTCTGAGAGCTGTAAGTAAGGTACATCATTTGTGGGAAAGGCCCAATTCGCGACGAGTGGGGGTTGCCTGATTCTGCAGAGCCTTCTCAGAATGGCCATTTTTCGGCATACCCACCAATCGGCCACCTCGATTGATTATTCGCACGCTCATTCGATCGTTCTTGCGAAACCGTTCGCGTCGGAAAAGCCTCCACTCCAGACTTCCGAATCTGGACCCGGTCTGATACGAATCAAAGATGTGATTGGCCCGATGAAAGATCATGCTGCATGCAAGTGCCGTCTCGCTTGATAACCCCACGAAAACTACACGCACAAATGGGTTCTGAAAGGATGATTGGCTGGATCATAAGGCCCAGAAGCGACTAGACAGCGGCTCACAATGCAGCTCAGCCCTAGGAAGAGTCCCTCTATGTAAGATAGAAGATCTGGAGTTTCGATACATGAAAGCGCTGAAAACAGAAGGCGTGGGCGGGTGGTAAAAGGTTCGAAACCTCGTCTTGTAACGAGAGGAACAAGAATAGGGAGCAAGAAACAGGAGGAATACCACCTATCTCAAGCTCTTCCAACATGGCAATCTCGGCTATATTGCCATATGTATGCTGTGCCTCCTCTCACTAGCCATCAGCCATGCTGTGGCGAACAAAGACACTAGTCTTGTATAAACCTATTTCGCGGAGCATGCGTGTCATGGAAGCCGGATAAGAGGCAGCACGATGGCTTCCGATAGCTCTCGCGACCCGATTCCGAAGTGGAAGATACCCGGAAAAGGAGAAACGATGACCTGAATTGGCGAAACGCATCAACTGGGAACTGCTGTTATCTGCTGAAGAGAAGGCATTTCAGTGATGCGCAAGAGACGCTGTTGCGAATCTAGCTTCCTCTTTTACTGACAGTAGCTTGTGTAGAGCCCCTCCACATGCCTCAATGAGGGCGTCGATAAGCTACGGCACGAGCCCGACATGACGTATCAACCTACAGTGTGCGGGTGGTCAGCCTGTGCATGCTTGAATAATTGATATGTCCGCCCTAGCCACGACAATGATCCAGCGAAATATCGATCGGACCAGGTGATCAGGCCTTTTCGAAGATGCGGGCCTATAGGAGGAGTTGGCGCATCGCAAGATTAGTGGATGATCGAAGTGTCCAATCAAACCTGCAGCGAATAGAACTTTTCTAGGTAAAAAGGGTGTATGATGAGACGGTGAAGATTGTGAACCGATAATCCAATCAACGAATCTCACCTATTCTCCCAGAAACCTTCACCAATCACACTAGCCGAAGTTCCAAATCTAGCGACATCAGTCTCTTTGACATCGGCTGCAAGGGCCCACCGTATGTCACGCGAGATGCGAAGTCTGTCTCCATGAGGCGTGTTCATTGGCCAGAGGGGGTCAGGTCATTTGCGCTGAACATGTGAGATGCGTCATGCTGCATCCATGCGGCCTAGCATCGGCTATTGTAAATGTGGTATGTTGTGAAGTCATGAAAGGTTGATAAAGTGCTATCTCGGGCCGCTTCCGGCGCGGATGTCCTCTCTACTAGAAGGATGTTTTGTACTGGGCTACAGATCGGGCTATGGACATGTGGAGGAGCATACTGCCTTGGCCGGAGACAGTCCCACGAAATCAGCTGGTGCAACAAGCAATGCAGCTGTTGCAGTAGTGCCACACGGCATGATGCAAGTCTGACCAGTCTGACGCGGCCAGAAGAGGGACCTGCATATGGTATCGTGTGGTGGTCCCTTTCTGCCCTTGTGCTTTGGTGGGGCACATCCAGATCGCCGGGACGGAAAGAAGGTTCTGGAGGCCGAAAGGCTGTCCGATGTGCGCGGAATGCAGTTGCTTGCACACAATCACATTCAGTACTAGAATGCAGGAGGGGCCGCATAACACTGTCAGGTAAGGTCAGTGTTCGATTACTGCGATTTCCGTTTGATTATACTACTTCTCAATATAAAATACCATGCCAACAAGGTTCGATACACTTTCGAACGATTCCTGGTAAAGGTAGTTGCTTGTTCGGTTTTCAGACTCGAGTATTATCATGGACACATCGATTGCGCTATCCATCACTGAATCATTGTCTGCGACACCTCTGAATCATTTGGTTTTCAACTCCTCAATACCTAGAAAGATTAACGTCGTGTTCTATTCCATACATCTATGTCTAGTAAGTTGAATCAATTGTGTTGAGTGGACTTAAGCACAGCCTTGAAGATCGGGCTCACTCCGGGATGTTCGGGGGCGCCTCCGCTAGGTCAGTCTTGGCGGGCATTGCGGCCTCTCATATCCTCTGAACTTTTTGATAGCGCGTAGACCGTATGGAAATTTCTTGGCGTTTACGGTCCAAAGGGATGCAAGCCGTAAGCCACCGTAACATATCTTGTAATTTCCGGTACAATTGGAAAGCAGCTTCGACATAATAGTACAGGATGACTATAATCATAGATATCGTAGTCAGCGTCAAATTTGTGGTTGGTGGTTGGTCGCTGCTCAAATTCTTGGCTGTATTCTCGGCTGTAATGCGTCGTCGTAGCGGCTGGTGCGAATCCCATTCCTGGGAAATTGCGAACCTACTCAAACGCTCACACTATCATCATTGTTCCACCACTGCTTCCACTGCGAACGAAAATACAATTGAATTCTGAGACAACCCATTTACCGCAAGCTTCAGCAATCCTTTCAGTGCCGCTCGTTACCTTCTCTGAGCGCTCGAAGAGCCCCGTTGATCCCGTCAGCCCCGCAACTTATCGCAAGGCCGTCTTGCAAAACGAGACGAACATGCCGTTTGTCCCCACAAAATCCCATCTAGTCCTACATCTTGGCTGACTGCTCATGTTCTTCATAGGGAAAGCAACGAACCTCCTCGGCAGACGACCAAAGCCTCTCCGGCCAATACGGAGCCTAAGGGGTCCCAGCTAGATGAGTGGTATAAGACGCAAGAGACACACGAGCAGCTGGTAGTAGGAGAAAAGACGTCGCGAACTTTTGCCAAGACTCTGGGCTTTCTGGAAGAGATCGAGGAGAAGGTGGATGGTGATGACAGAGGAGAAGAGAACACAAGAGGCTGAACAAGAAGGAGAAAGTGTGAGAGGGACAGATGTGTAACGAGCAATGAGCATAAGTCTTGAAGGGATGTCGAATGGAAGGCTTGGCGCTCAGCGCTAGTCTTTTTATCGTGTGAGAAGGGCACTGTCGTCATCAACTCGGATATCAGTGCAGGATGACACATTTTAAAGTGATGGTGTTTTGCGATAGGCAGTTGCGAGTCGGTGGCCCGTATGACAGTGGTGGTGGTACTCCTCCAAAGTTGAGCTGCCACTACGCCCAACTCCACCGCGATTGTCTTTTTTCCTCTGCCCTCTTCATCCAGACATCTTTGAGATGGGTGTTCCGGAGCTTGCTCGTCTCTGACAAATGACCTCGCTCTCCTTTCGTTGCTGCTCCTATTTGGTTTTGACAATGTTGAGACGCAGCGTCTGAGCTCTCTCCTACGTCACAGCATCCCCATCTTAGCTGCGCAATGTCAATATCAAGACCACAAGTTGTCTTGTTGAAAGATTGGGATGTGATATCAGTGTTACCGAAGTGCCGCAACATCAATTTAGTTCGCGAAGACCGGTGTTATTGTTGCGAGGTTGACTTTGTTGTCGTTTGGATGGCGGAGGAAGCTTAAAGTTGTTCCGAAGCGACAGCAATTTTTTTACGAAAAATCCAATGAACGCTAGGGCCTCCTCAATACACTCACCGGTTTCACCGCGGCGCAATCGCGCAATCGGCTAATCCACGGCAAATCCCAGACGCATCAACAGACAGATAGACAGACAGATCCTAATCATCCCGTGCACGACAATTCAGCACCTCTGTCTTCTATGACACTGCTAGAATAGTCATTACGCAAATCATTGCAATCTCCTTCCAGACAATGCACTCTGAAAACAGGCCCCTAGGAGTCCATCAATGACAATCCCTGCAGCCTTTCCTGTTGTGGGCGGACATTCGATGATATCAATGAAAGTGCCAAAGACCCAATCCTTCTGGTTTAACTCGGTCATAACATCGTTAAGTTGTGTGATTCTTAAACTTCTTCTTTTTTTTTTAATACCTTCAGGCCGAGAGCCCTCATCTATTGCCCTTCTCGCCCATCCCAAACCCATCACCCAAGCGCCCTTCCAAATCACCTCCTCCACCACCTCTCATCCGCACTACCCCGCTCCCACTCCCGTTACCACTCTGATCTCAAGTACGCCCGCGACATTATTCCCTGCACCGCCAGCTGCTCATATGTCTCCGGCTGTCGATATCACTGCTCCACTGCAGAGTACCCCCAAGGTCATTTCATGAAAGTGTATCGGCCACCAGGCGATAGGGCTATTGCTGGTTGGGATCGTAGAGGTATCTAGAGAAGATAGCGATAATAAGCAGGGGCAAGTGTTGGGAAGGAGGGGAGGTGGGAAAGACATGCGGCATTTCGGGTAATTCTTGCTTTGGTGTTGTGTTCAGACGACAGAGGGATGGATTGAGGGTGGAGGATATGAGACACCTGGTCAAAATCGGTAGAGGATGCTGATGGACGATGGACTCAAGGTAGGCTGCCTTGTTCACGGGGCTTTGTAGACGTTGAAGTACAAGAAAAGTCGAATAAGACTGCAAACATTGCGATTTTCTATGTCGCAGTCCTCCCTGAGACATTCCTCTCAACAGTCCTCACGACGGGTCCAGGGCAATTCCCCTAAAGAGGTACTCAGAGCCAGTCCTTCAGTGGGTCATGGAGAAGTCCTCCTGACAAAGATCTTCAAGGCAAGCCTATGATCCCTAGAGTCAGCGTGCTGTATAGATGGCAGAGACGATGAAGTATTCTGCACAGAAAAGTGAAAAGAATCATTGTATGATTTGTGATCAGAGTCTATCAACATCACTTGCTAGAGATTGTCGACTGTTAGGTATCATGCTATGTAAAAACAAGTGCTGGAGCGCTGCTGATGCTCTGACCGCGCCGAGGCCGCCACCGTAAGATCTCTCATGTGCAACACCGAACCAAGTCCCAAAGGACAGGTTGCAATGAGAATGATAAAAAAAATCCGTAAGTCCTAATCTTCTTTGCGCGTGACAGACGAGGCACTAGGCGGGTTCGCGGGACAAGTCGCTCGCGACATGGTTTTTGAAGCCGCGGTTCTGGAGCCCGTTTTCCTCATCCGTACCTTGAGCGATGCGGCCAGCGGCTGACCTGAGTGTTGACGTAAGATATGCCTTATCAAATTGTCTGGACGACCTGATTGGATGACCAAGTGGCATTCTGGACATGTGGGTTTTGTTTTGTTACCATGGCGATTACGCTTGTGTCGTCGTAACGAGTCCTTTTTCGAGCCCCCGTGGAATTTTGCTCCACACCCTCCAAACGTGCACGTTGCGACGCCAGCAGTTGATGTATCAGCAGAGACTGATGGAGAAGGAGCTGGGGCGGGAGGGTTGATGGTAAAAGTAGGTGGCAAGGTCGTGGTTGGAAGGGGTGGATTGTCCAACAGGATTCTAGGTGCCATGTTTGGTGAAGATTTTAGGTCGCTGCCGGGCGGGAGGAAAGAGTACTCGACTCCTGGGGTTCGTTGAACCGAGGTATCTGCAAGGTACATTGTACCATTGATCACGATCATGACTCCTGATTGGCCACTGGATGGAAGTCGAAAGATTTGTGGTACTGGACCTCCAGTTGTTGACAGCGGTGAAAATGAAGAAGCTGCCATTCCTGTTCCTCCATCAGCGCCAGACGCCGCGTTCGAAAACAGAGCACATTCGTCAGACTGAGACTCGGTACCGAAAGGTGTTGCGGCGTCGGCATTGGCGAAGACTTCTTGTAGGTTTTGTGGTAGTAGGCGTGTTACCGTGGAGTTAATGCCACTTCCACGGTGCATGCCCATCGTTGGCTCCTCTTGGGCCCAGATACCGGTTCGTGGATCATTGTAGCTTTGCATAGATGCAGCATTGTCATCAGGCATTGGCCGCAAATCGTAATCTTCTACACAAGGTGTTGAAGTATCGATCCCCCCTGCGCTCTCGGAGTACTGGCTGTAAATGGTAGCGGAGGACTTGTGGGGAGTCCAGATGGGAGGCTGCAGATTGGTAGAGCTTCCTTCAGACCAATGACCTGGTTGCCTCCAAGATGAGGAGGAATCGGCGTCGTTGGAAGTCTGGGAAGCTGTATGAATGGTCTGCGCTCGATCTGTGCTCTTGTCAGAAAGCTTGAATTCGGAGAAAAAGAGTGGGTGGACACTCACAAATGCGATTATTGGCAAATCCAGGGCTCAACGTAGGACTGATCGTCTCAGGTACATATTGTGACGAATCAGCATCCATGCCGATGGTGTTGGTTCTTCCAGAGGTGCTATCAGAGATGTCGCTGTTGGACAAGCCTTCATTGCCACTGAGGTTGAGACTTTCCAATGATTCACCGAAGTCTTCTGTCTCCCAGTGTTCGTTGAAATTAGGTCCGTGATTGGGGAAGGCCTCTGGACCTGGAGGCAACAGGGGAGCATCGTGTACTGGAGACAAATGGGTGCTGCGTTCGTTGAACGTCATGGCTAAGGGTTCGTCGTCATCATAGAGCAAGCTATGGTTCAAAATTCAGTGTCGCTCTCGAGTTGTGAGATTTGGCTAAGTACTCAGACTGTAGATCAGCCAAATGATTTTTTTTCCAACTAGGACTCATTGTGCCAGATAGCAATGAACTGTAATGCAACATGTCGTTAAAGGATGGACCTAGACGGACAGTTGTACTGTATTGAGGTACTGGGAAGACTTAAAAGCGGTTTCGAGCAGGCTTGCAAGCACCGAGTAGCTGTGGGAGATGAGCGGAAGTAGACTAGGAGTGGCAGCTGTCGGCTTGCTCAATTGACTGACAAGTGAAAGCGACAATCCCTTTTGGCGAATCCGTGTCTTGGTGTGTGACTGAACAGAATTCAGGTTCAAGATGGAATGCCTGGAGTAGTTCCGTTGTGACGCTAGGTGCTGGTTGGCTGCCTTGTTTTACGGTGGGCAAAGGTTGGAACGACGGTATTCTATCCTAGCCGGGAGGACTGAATGTCGACGAAGTGATTGGCTGAAGCTCACTAGCCTCTGCTACTCTCAAGTGAGACAGTTAAGAGCAGTGATATGGGCAGTCTCGTAGTCCGATGGCAATGGGATTCTGGAATCGCAAACGATTAGACAAAAGTCTTGTAAGCCTCGGTCGTTACATTCGTTCACGGTAGAGGGCCAATGTGAGGGAGCCCACGAGACGTGCTTCACAGAGGGTGTGTCTGCTACAGGATCGGTCAGTCCGATTCGAGCGTAGACATGAAAAGAGAGTGTAGAAGTATGGACGTACAGATCTGCCTCCATGCAAATGGCGCACGTCAGGGCGATGCAGGTCCTTGCCCCAGCGTGGAGCATCAGTCCAGTGGCCTCAGGGTTAGGCCTCTTCCTCATGTCAGGTTCATGCTAGGCGCATTTCAGGGTTGAACAATATCGTGGTGCCCAAGGGTCCTCGGCATCGGTCCCGAGCGAAGCGAGGCTACCAATCGAAAGGCGATACGATTGACAAGAAGGTCATGTGAACGAGCGGATCACAGGCCCGACAGCCGACGAGCCCAAGCATATGGACCAAGGAACGTATTGAGGCAGACGGTGAAGCCAAGGAGAACCGTTGCAAAGAGTTCCATACTAGCAGTGGCGCCGGAAATTGAAAAGCCATTATTTGAGTCAAAATCGTAGGATCTTACCAAAATCGCGTGGAGAAGGTTCGGCAATGTGGGCAGATGTCCATCGAAGGAGAGAAAGCGTCTTTGGGGACAAAAGAGTTCTAGTATCACAGTCTGATTGATGCTACCATCAAAATGCACAGATGATGAAGAGAGAAATATCTTCCAGGAAATTGAGGGGCCATCACCCCTATTGTAACCCCAGCATCGGAGCAGTTTGAGGCAGCTGCCCACCTTCCTGCAGCCAAAAGCGCTTTCAACAAGGCTAGGTGCCGCATAGATAGTCAATTGGCTACCCAGAACTTCAGCCTTCCTTCATGCACTCATCGTTTCCCATCTTGGTGATGGAGTGATGAAGGGTTGCAGTCGTCGCCCCTCACGATTGCGACAAACGTGTTTCCGCATTAGCGCTGCAGCGAACCGCCCATACTCGTCTTCCTGCTCTGCGGGGCTTACAAAGAGGCGGGGAGCTGCTTGCGCTGCTTCAAGAACATTCTGCGCCCCAAACAATAGAGCGTTCTTCAAGATCCCTGATTTTCAATGCCAATGTTGTTTCAAGAAGCAAGCTTCTTTATATTGTGCCGGTACCGAGAATGACAATCCGCACAACCAGCTGCTCCAACGTCTCAGCTTCATGATACGCCACTGCAGCCACGATCCTTACCCTCAACACCTTTCCATCGCACGATCAACCTCCTTTCGGAGAACAAGACGACCTCAACATCGATCTGATCTCTTTTTCCTCATAAGCGTTGCCTTACCGCCTGAGATAACGGCTGGAGCGACTTCGGCACCACCCTTTACCGCCTGAGTTTTCAAAAAAGGAAAGACTTGATCCAAGAAATACTACACGTGAAGACGCACTGAAGGCTGCTTCAGGGGAGACACAACGTGCGGCGGAAAAACAAAGAGCAAGGGTGATCTACGTACATCTGTCGGTACGAATCGACAGCAGTTGTCCATCGGGACTGACGCTCTACAGGTTGATTCCCTGATGGTAGCGAGCCTCTGAGCCTGCTTGAAGTGAATGGGACGCGTGCAAATGCTGTATACCAGACCCGGCCAGATGGTCCCGGCAAGAGCTGCATGGGGCGGTGGAGGGTACCAAGAAGATGTGAAGCACCTGTCTGCGTCACCAAGCATATCCTATATCCCAAGGAGCACCATTCAATATACTCGTTGGGCTTGTCGGCGTCATTTGTGGAGAGGTGAAAAGCCTTGACCGCCAACCCATAGGGCTACGCTAAGACCGCGCCAACGACGCCGCCGTCTCTCCTTGATACTTAGGCTTGCAACTCCCTTCGATTTGTTCTTCGCGGAGACTAGCCTAGTCTCTATATCTCAAGGCTCTTGAAGTGCAAAAGGCACGTCAACAAGATCAAGACTCCCTACGATCAGCCTTTGACCACTACTGTGAGCGCGAAAGAAATGAGAAGTAATACTATCTTGCATACTCGAAGTGGCGTACATTTTGACATCCGACTGCTCAGATTCGGCATTTTTCGCATGTGTCATACGGCATCGTCACAAAATCAATGCCCTAAAATGCAGAGCGAAACCGTTAGGTCGGTCCCATACTCATAGGGCCTCGCTGGTCTCATCGTTCCCCATCCAAGCGCCACCTGCTCGTGTGTCTCCGCCGTGTTCCCACACTACCAACAAGTCAATGGATGATCTTTTACGACCGATTTTCAGAGCAGACCGGGATATAATATACCGCCGTCTGGGTCTCTCAGCCGCTGTTGAAATGTTCTTGCGCCTTTTCCCTCCTATTGTCAACAACTCAGCTTATCGGTGACCGGAGAATGCTACATCCAGATACATCAGGGGTTCTTGTGTGGAGTGACAATGACTAAAAATTACAAGTTCTTCTATGCTTCTTTGCTACCCTCGCAAGAAGTCTTGTCGTATTGTTCCACATCTCGACCTTGGCCCGAGCTTTCATGCCGTCAACCAATCCTGCGATGGGACGGGGTCCCACATAATCCACGGTAGCACCAAGCGTCCCAAGCTCCTTAAAATTCATCATCCCGGGTAGCGCAGAAACACGACCCTTAGAATTTTCAAGGATGGTAGCCAGAAGGATTCAGCGTGCTTATCCAACCCTCCCACCTTATATCTAAGCCTGCAGGACATTCACGCGACAGCCACGTGCACCGTTTGCCACCCCCTCTTCCGCCCTTTCCCCCGTGAATGGTCCGTGCAAGAGGCCAAGGTTGATTTTGGCTTCTGTGGACCGTGACGTGGAACCCGGTTTTCGCTAGGAGCGAGGGGCGAGTGACGCGCAGTTCTCTGTATCAGTTTCTGATTGGGTGGCATGGATTGATGATCCTTATTGGCAAGCCAGGCCGGCACCAAACAACAGATCTCGAACGATGTATTGAAGTTGATATCATCAAACTGAGCGGGCAGATTCTAAGTCAGATCCAGGAAACGTGCATTGACAGGGTAATTCTCTATCTGCGCAAACCGCCTCCCAGCCGTGAAGCTTTATCGTCTATCTCCCAATCATCAATCATCCCAACCCTCGCGATTCCTCCCACGACGCCCCATGCCCATACCCACCATCACCCCCTCCTCCTCTCCTCCGCCCTGCGCCACTCCATCTCCCGCTCCCGTTCCCACATGCGATCCGACCTTGCCGAGCTCCCATTCACCGCCAACTGCTCATGTGTCTGCGGTGTCCTGTACCAATCATCTAGCGCTGAATGCTTTTGCCCTCCATAGCGCGCGAGGGTATCGGCGGATAGCTTGGGTAGCTTCTCGGGTTCTTTGCCCAGCCACCTGTTTCGGGTAATGTACGTTAGCTGAATCCATGAAAGAGGGAATGAGATAAGAGAGACGAACGGCATGATTGCTTTGTTTTCTTATCAAATTGGTGCGGTGGCGGTGTGTGGTAGAGTAGACCCTGGCAAAGGGAGATGTGATGTGTCGCTGGTGTTGCTAGTGCTTGGGGCAAGAGATAGGTCCGTTGGTAGTGATAGCTGAGGACCAAATCAGAGCGAAAATGTTGAGGTGGACTACTCTGAATCGATTGATGGGCGGTAGTGATGAACGGACTTCCTCGGCTGGCAGTCCAGCAGCTTTATAGCCACTGCTCCAGTCCTCCGAGTCCTCCGAGTCCTGTCAGTCCTGTCAGTCCTCCGAGGCCTCTGCCTGAGTCAACGAGTCCAGTCATCCTGGTAATCGGCCGGTTTTGTGAGGATTGAAAGGAGCAACTTGCGAGGTGCTTATAATACTATCATCATGTTAGAAGAGGGGGAGTGCGCAGAGCTGTTGTTCGGTAATTGCTTGCACCATGATGATAGAACTAATGCGTACATTGCTGATGTGTAACGATGTAGCATCGAACATCTATGACAATATAGCAGTCAGGGGTATCACCGCTCAAATCTCAAAGACATGAATCATGCCCCAATCAATCCATAGACATCATACCATATAAAACAGACAGGGTGTAGTGTGGTCTCTTCTGCATATTCCAATATACGAACATCAGCTCACTAGGACTCAAAATCACTATCAGCTTTTCGCTTCCTTTTCGTTGATGTAGCAGGCAAAGGGTAGTCTGGGTGCGTAGCTCTGATGTGCTTTTTCAGGTTGTCCTTGCGACCAGGAGCAAAGGAAACGGTGCATCCACGCACGAGACACTCGAGCCGTGGCTTCCCGTCATGATTGTCACGCATGTGCCGCTGTAGGCTGTTCTTCTGTGCTACGGGTGTGCCTGTAAAGATTCGATAGGGACATATTGAACAGCAGGTGACGCCGTCGTCCGCATCAGACAGGTAGGATGGCGAGGGTGAAACGGAAGGTGAAAGCTCGGTTGGAGTGACGCAGAGCGGTGTGGCTGGGGTGGAGGTTGGATCATCTCCGCCATAGATATTGTCGAGTTGATGGTACTCGGCTATTCCCCTAAAGGACGACGGTGGTGTAGGATACATTGGGGTTTGTATGCTATTTTGAAACGTTGAGTGGGGTAGGGTACTGCCGGACGGGCTTTGCCAATGCTGTGATCCTGGTGGCGTTTTGGTTGGTATCTGGAGCGTAGAGGGGTTTCTTGGAAGCGGACGCCTTTTAACACCAAAGCTTTCGTCGGTGTTAGACACAGCAGCAACATTAGCTGTGGTTGAATCAGCATCAGCATGGAAGGCGTTCACACTTTCCACTGCGAGCGTTCCAAGCTGGGGTTCAATGCAACCGAGCACCGTGTCCGGAGGTTGTCGATCTTGCGTAGCAATCTCGTAGTTGTTTGGAATGTTGCACTTTACATCTGGAAGTTGGCTGTTGCTTCCACTTGAAGCTACGGACATGTGTAGACTCTGGCCAAGGTTCCACTTTGCGTCGAATGGAGTTGCGGTCGACAATGTATTGCCGTACAATTGAGGTACGCCGGACTTCTTCCCACCTCCCATACTTTCATTGTCGACACTCGAAACGACGACACGAGGTAGTGGAATGCTCATACAGTTCGTCGACATTCCAAGATCAGTCGGGCTTCCTAGCTCAAATTGTGCACCAATCTCCTTGAAGGGCTTTGTGGGTCTTTTAATTCCTTGTTGATACGGTGTGGATCTGGTGGTTGACTCCAGAGAGGCGTGAGAGACATTCATTGAACCATCGCCCTGATCGGTCTGGTAGTCCATTGGGCGGGGTGACAAGGCACCGTACCCTGGCACAGTGTTATAATCATAACGCTCCATCTCTTCAATGTCATAGTCCCAGCTTTCGACAGCACACAGACCCATGCCGACGTATCCATGGTTCGCAGATGACACGCCAGGCTCACTACCATCGTTGAAAGCTTCCAACCCACGAAATTCGAGTGTCTCGTTGTACTCGGATTGCCACACTTCGGCGGGTTCGGCTATCTTTGACCGCGGTGATAGAGAAGGCTCGGGCCTTGAATTATGTGGGGTATGTTCCTGTGACTCGTTCTCATCTTCTGGGTTGTGCGAAATTTCTGGTAACCTGTCGTACGAGCATCAGTCCAGCGCATTAATCTCGGCTCTCAAGGCGCCTTACATCGTTTCTAAATGATTTTTGATGATTTCAAGGGACTCTTTGTCCTTGGTGACTGACAGATATGAGGTTGAACGCAATGTCGATGATCGAGCGAGGGCTGGGCCGCACCAGACGACCCCAACAAGGACAAGGACCGTTACGTTGATTGAAGCGATGACGGAATTGGCAACCAGCGACGCTTAGATGCGAAGCAGTGCTCGAAGCACGCTGCGAGCGACTAATTATGTTGATCGTGAGATCTGATGTAGAAACTGATGCGTGAAGGCGCCGACCAGATGCAACGGAGCGTTGAGATATTGATGTACGAAGTTGATCGTAGTAGGTAAAGTATGGGTATCAGGGCAGTTGACGGCTTTCCTATGCGAAGACGTGGGATAGTTCGAGGTGGTGTCTGCATTCGCAGAGCGTCGAGGATCGTTGGCAGGTGGAGGGGCTTGCGGGAGGACTTTGGCATGTGGATAGGCTGCCAGCCAATCCCAGGTCACGTTCGTGGGCTGTGTATGGTCAGCAGCCAACGAGCACTGCTTTCACTTTGACTTTCGCCATTGTGTTGACCGTATAAGACTTTGGTCAGCTCACCAAGTTGTTCAGTTCGTGTCGGGTGCGATGTGGAAGGGGGGGGTGGATCAAAGGCAGAATAAACTGCACATTTAGCGCTATTCCGGATCTTTGATGAGAGCTGCTTGCCACAACGGCTCTGCAGATCGCTCAGGGCAAGCTGCCCTGGCTTGCGGTTCTGCCATTGCAAAAAGTCGAACTAGCAGGCGGAAATTGCCAAGCGGTTACACCGCGTGGATGGCCCTCATGATCATTGTGGAGTGTAGAGCTTTTGCAACACTTCCTGCCTTGCGGAGTGTTCTCCGAACTAAACGAGATTGGGATGGATGCCTGACAACCGGTAGCTCCAGCATCGCCTTTCGTTCAATTGACCAATGAGATGTATTCAGGGAAGCTTGACTGATGCGAACGAGGTTTGTTAGCGATGCTTCTACGATTAAGGGGAGACCATCAACGGGAATGGTCCAGCATGGGCAGACAAGAAAACCCACATAGATCGCTGCTTCAGCGAGGCAATTTAGGCAATGCTGTAGAGTTCATTTCGCAGCGAAGGTTAACCAGGAAAGGAGCATAAAGCGAAGCCAATGTGAGGTATGGTTCCGTGAGATGAGAGCTAGAAAAATTGCCACCCTCAGGGGCTGTCAAGGAAACAAAACTTCTTAAGAAAGCCTGGAGAAACGCCGTAAGGCCACCATCTCAACCCCGCTGGGGCGTCATGACGGATGTAAATCACGCAGTTGGTATGGGGCAAGTCGACACGGGCTCGTGAGCCTTTGCGCGGTGCGCCAAAGCGTTCAGCCAATGAAAGTTCCCAATCTCTCCACAAACGGATAGTCTTCTGCCAGATAATGCGTCGATCAGCCGAATTTGGAAGCTGCGCAACGAATATTTCATTAGCGCATGCGGGCAGCCTTATGCTTGTGGATTGATGTTGCCACATATCCGATATCAATAGCAAGGAGCGCGAATTTTCCTGCTTGCAGACACCTCTTGAAACCAGCTAACGCTCACGAGAAGGAGTACAGAACAACAATGATCTCCAAGGATCCATCGACAAAAAGACTTCCAGACAACGAAGATAAACTCAAGAGTTCCTTGACTAGATGATTGGACACAATACCTAGGATTTCCAAAGACCGGATGCGTTCGGATGCTCCTTCCTCTCCTTGTGCTTTTCCCAGTGCTTAAAACAGCAAATGCAACGTCGGCAGCGGTCGATGTCACATCGGATACTTGAGAAGATAAGATCAGAATAAAGCTAGTAGCGCTGGACTCGGACTTGGACCCCGAGCCTGTTTGTATGAGAGAGCAGACACGTGGCGAAGGAGGAACAGCTATCAAATGTGACTCATCCATATCCACCAACCCACGGCATCAAGAAGACTGAGAACAGTGTTATACTCGATAGCATGCTTTGCACGAAGTTCAAGATGCGTGGCTTTGTGTGAAGAGAGAAGAACGATCAGGAATGGACAGTATGGACTGGCTGTGTGATTCGCATAACGCATGACACTGGTGGAGAAGCAAATAGCAGGAATTGGGAGTACCGGATGGAGGATCCATACCCATCCAACGAAGTGAAGGATCTGACATTGATGGACGCGTGGCACTCGTACATGGGCAAGTGTTCAAGGGATTCATACCAACCTCATAGGGCTGAGGGCTGCCAAGACCGCGATGGTGCCGCGCGCTGTCGGCGACGTCTCCTCATCGCTCGCCGCCCTTATGTCTCATGTACCCGTCATGCGCCTCATCGAGCGTGTCTATACACCAGACTCGGGAGAAGCAGGAGGAGTCCTGGGGACGCGGCAGTCGATGTTGTTCATCCATGGATCTCGATGGCTCCTCTTGGAGATGAACCACATTCTGTCCGAATCAGCTGCATGGTCAATCTGCCTCGCAACGAGCAGCTTAGGTACTGATCCCGCCTGCTCGTAGAACAGAAGCCAAGATTTTCGCGGCCTCCCAACATCCCAAGCCCGAAGACTGATAAAGCGGCCATCGCCAGGTGAATCATCATGCGCGGCCACATATATATCCATGGATGTATTCTGAAGACGCTTTTCATACATTTAATATCGATGATACTGAGCGTTCAATTGACATGCTTCAAGGGCACCCGAGCTTCTATGATCCGACATTAAGCTCTATCATATACCTCAACTCCTCAATCAAATCACTTGAAGCATAACATTATATTATTTAGCTTTGGTCATGTGCCCGTTTCAACCTTTCAACGCCCATCCTCCGTCTCGTCCTTCCTGTTCTACCAAAGTTTCATCAGTTTCGCTGTCCGTCAATCTTCTCTTCAAGCTTCTTCAATCGTTTCTTTGTCTTTTTCTTCGATCTGGAAGTCGGCTGTCCCATAGCCGCTTGCTCATGCGTCTGTGCCACTTTTTGCCATCTGTAAAGTTGTGCTGTCGATCGCCCTCCCTGGCTAGCGAGGCTTTCTGCTGTCACTCTGGATGTGCGAGTATCTTGACTATGAACGCATAACGGTCAGCAGGGACGGAAGACGGAGTTCTGGGTTGTTAGACGAACAGCATTGGTGCAGACGGTGGACTCTGGCTTCTGGTGGTAAATCTGGGGCGAGAAACTCTTTTGGTGTGCGGAGACAGCTGAATCTGATAGTACTGAAGGCTTGACCTCCCAATGACGCTCTCGAGTACCTAGGTCTATTGGATCTAATCAGAAAGCCTTCAAGGAGGTAAGAGGATATTATATGATTACCGGGACTTCTCGCCGTGATCACAGAGTTCGCTCGCAATGCTGGGACAATCAAGCAATCAAATCTCGAGCGAGCTATACCGACGCTTGAGTCCTGCAGCGGTTCCCTAATCGGATTTTGGTCCCCAGACTTCGATTCTTGCCGGTACTCAATCTCTCCAACGACTGGAAGGGTCCCTGAGTGAGCTTCCGTACTTATTATACATGTCAAACATGCATCATACCCCAGGGCGCTAATTTTACCCATAACTCTAAGCAACATTTCGACCGCTAAGTCCTGCCCTAGCCGCTAACATGGAGCTCGGACCATTTGCTAAGGAGGGGGGGCGGGCTGCTAGGATTTTAATGTGGTGCCATACGTCAGGGATTCCGGGACTTGAGACCTTTAGTGGTTAGTAGCGGACGATAGTCCTGCAGTAGTGCAAAAGATCTACCCGTTGCGCACATGGAACAGTCCCACATTTTTCACCTAGTCGCGGTCCCTCCGGAGAGACACCTTTGTTATCACTCCAGTACAAAGGATACGGGGCTCCCAGTCTGTCTACTAAAGGGATACTCCGCCGCTTGCAAAACACCGCCATAAACTGGGAATACGACGCCGGAGCTACCGACGTCCTCTAGATTCGGGTATGCCGTTGATTAGATATCATCTCTCAAGTACGATAAAGTCTTCGCTGCTGAAGAAGGCCGATCATCAACAGATGTAATTCCTGCATTCGGTGGTCGCCGAAGATTTGCGTATATCGCATGATTTTCAAAAGCTTAGACAACGCTACTTTCAGAGAGATCTTCGACAAACACCTAATGCAAACTCTTCTGTACTGAAGTGCGAGCTCGAAGGGGTGATCAGTCATAGGCATCTGAAGCCAATTGATTTGGAATTCTAGCACGGGGAAGGTGATTGTGGGGTTCAGCGCAAACGACAATGCAATTGCTCAACAGGGTGCGACGACGCAACCCGAGGTTCTACGTTAGAAACAGTCAATCTCATGCGACGGCATGCAGCGCATTGTCATACTCGGGACCAGAAAGCCAATTGCTCACTTTCTACTCATCTCTGTACTCTGCGAATGAGAAAGCCCTAATAAACTACAGAGTATCAGACATCCTGAAGAGATCTGCGGGTGCTGATTACAGCAGAAGACAGGGTCTGTACTTGGTGTTGCGAAAGTTGGGGAAGTCGAGACGTGGGGGCTCTTGAGCCTTAATTGACATCGCTGGCCCGAACGCCCCTCCATGGTGCATGGTCTCGTACTGAGCAAGAGCAGACAAGCAAACCGGGGTTGCAGAGCCACCAGGCCGCGTGAAAACCAATGCTGTCATACTGCAGACGCTCTCTCCATTGCAATGGTTCGAACGTACCACAGAGCGTCTGACAAGATCTTTGATCAAAGGATGTTTGACAGCAATCACGTATCACGGCTTTGTGCTCAAGCGGCATCGATCATACCTTTATTTGGCCTGACAGATGTCAACAAATTTTATAGTTCTTCGGATCGTATCGCCAGCCGAAGACTTCCATACAACAGTAGATGTGCAGTCCAGATAGAAACCTCTCGGGACTGCCGCAATGAGAATGCACTAAGGCTTTGAAAGCCACTAAGGTTATCGGAAAATGAATCATTGACGTACCTCATTGCTCTCAAAAGGCATAGTCTTCTCATCAAGCATCGATCACGCGCATAGCGGGGAACAGATAGGCATAACGGCGGGCTTCATATTTGTGTATCGGTGAAGGGTTGCTTCATAACTCCGTATCGCACCAAGAGCCGTCGCTACCTTGTAGCAACTTACCTTTCCATTTCCGACTGATAATGAATTTATTCCCCCACGAATGACCTGATAGGAGACGGATGTCAGATTAGCTTTATGCAGCCTGGCAGCCTACCTTCCCTTTGGAGACTGGCTCAGACTAGCGGGGTGGAATACCGCACCCAGTAAGATCGTGACCCACCCCACGAAGCAGAAGATGGCGTCGCTGTCATGCACCTCGCAAAACATTTGCCGCCGGTCATGTTAACGCCAATCCGGAGATATCTGAGAGGACTTTCTACTCGTGCGTCCGAGAAATCTACCCTCTTGGCAGTCCGGCGCGGCACCAATCATAGTATAGAAATACCCAGTCTGACGACTGAGATGACATCAAGCTTGAAGCCTTCTGAAGATAGCCTCCGCAGATCCTCTGGTAAACCCCAGTCTGGTCCTTGAGCGCAGAACTCCTTCTTCCCGGAAAATGAACGGTCTTGGCACGCATTTGAGCC